AGTGGCAGGAAAAGGAACAAGAAATAGTTGGTAATGTTAACAACCTAAACCTCAAGTACAAACAGAAAATCCACAGAAAATTTTTAGTTAAAAATTGAAAAAGGAAATATACTCTAAGGACATTTATTTGAAGACATGGACTAGAATCAAGTGAATTAAAAGTACAAATGGATAAAGAGGACACAAAGGGCAGTGGATTTTCTAGCCATGATCCTGATTTTTGTTAAGAGTAGACTGGGCTGGGGTGCAATTTTTTAACAAGAGCTCAGCATTCAAGAAGCCATGAACTCAATCCCAGCACCATCTATAAGGAAAGAGATTACACCTGTAATCCTAGCTACTCAAAAGGTTGAGATCTGAGAATCACAGTTCACAGCCAGCCAGGACAGGAAAGTCTATGAGACTCTTATTTCAATTACCCACAAAAAGCTAGAAGTAGAGCTGTGGCTCAAGTGGCAGAGCGCCATCTTTAAATGAAAAAGCTGAGGGACAGTGGCCAGACCCAGAGAGAGAAGAGAGAGAAGAGAGGAAAGACGAGGGCCTCGGAGGGTAGGAGGAAGACAGAGAGGACAAACAGGATATTTGTTCAAAAGAGATAGCTAAATTCATTAAAAAAGATACCACTGAGTTTTTAATTTGTGTCACTATATCTTATGTGATTTATGAAATTTAAGTATGTGCTTGCTTATGTAGGGGCACTTAAAAACTACTGCTATAAGTTAGAAAGATATCAAACATTTCAGTGTTAACCGACATGTTCTAGAAAGGATCCATTTTAGAAAACATTTTCAAAGCAGATCATCAGGCCCTTCCTCTTCTTCCTCCTCCTCCTCCTCTTCTTTTTTCTTTGTGCCAGTCCTGGGTTTGAATTAGGGGCCTAGACACTATCCCTGAGCCCTTCTATGCAAAGCTTGCACTCTACCACTTGAGCCACAGCTTCACTCCTGGCTTTTTGTGTGTGTGGGTAATTGGAGGTAAGGGTCTCTTGGACTTTTGCTGCCCCAGCTGGCTTCAAACCATGATCCTCAGATCTCAACCTCCTGGAATATCTAGGATTATAGGCATGAGCCCAGCCAGCCTCTTTCTGATAGAATAAACTATTTCCCTACAATAACCAAGAACCCTAAAAATGAAATGTGTCCAATTTTACTTCCTTGTGTCATTTTGACCCAAGGAAGACATGCACCTACTACCAGAATGTGGCTACTCTAGAGCAACAAATCTGTACGGTCTGATTTTTTTTTTTGGGTGGGGGGGGAGGGTTGGTTGTGGGGCTTGACCTCTGGCCTGAGTGCTGTCCCTCAGCTATTCAGCCCAAGGCGAGCACTCTACCACTTAAGCCACAGTATCACTTCGGTTTTCTGTGTGGTTTATTGGAGATGAGTCTCAGGGATTTTCCTGCTGGGGCTGGCTTTGAACCATGATCCTCAGATCTCAGCTGAGCAGTTAGGATTACAGGCGTGAGCCACTGGTGCCCAGCTTGGTCTGATTCTTTTTTTTGTTGTTGTTGTCATGGGACTTGAACTCTGGGCGTGGGCGCTGTCCTTGTGCTCTTCAGCTCAAGGTGAGCACTCTACTGCTTGAGCCACAGTGCCACTTCTGGTTTTCTAGTGGTCTATTGGAGGTAAGTCTCACGGACTTTCCTGCCCAGGCTGGCTTTGAACCTTGATCCTCAGATCTCATCCTCCTGAGTAGCTAGGATTACAGGCATAAGCCACCGGTGGCCGGCTTGTCTGATTCTTAAACTTACCATTCTTTATCTTTTCAAACCCACATCTAACCCATCAGCAATAATAAAATAATCTTTCAAAACATACCGTAACCAGACAACTCACGCCATCCCTAACACTAATACCCTAGAACTTGTACTTCCTCATCTCTCATGTGAGCCACTGAAATAGCCCAGTACTGTAATTGTTTTCAACCCTGCTCTAAGCCATTCTTTAGGCAGCTCCCAGAGTTGTCATTTTTAATTATAAAGTACGATATAATTTGCAAAACACTGGCCTATCTGAAGTACTTACTGATTCTCATGTCTTCTGCCTCTGTCTCATTCATTCCTCCCCAGCCTCACTGGCCTGATGGCTATCCCTAAATTCTGTTGAGCATGATGCTGCTCCAACCTGTAGTACCTTCTTCCAGGTACTTCAAAAAGGCCTTCAAGGTATTGTCCCCTATGTCTCCAGAAATTGCTACATTCTTCCACACTGACCTTGCTTAGTTTTTCCTCAGAAGGCTTAACACAGGAATGCTGTGTATAAAGTGTACTAACTATATATTTTTTTTATTAGAATATAGGCCCAAATAGGAGGCCAGACACTTCAGGAATTCTAGTTTCACTGCTGTATACCCAGAACCTAAAAGAATACCTGACAGATAATGCCTGACACATAATGGTCAATAAGTTTTGTTGCTTAAATGACAAACCCAACATGATATTACTGGTGGGTAATAACTGTTAGAATCATACTTCCCCTAAGAATGAGACATATTTATGGTACATGATTTTATAAAATATGAAGTATACGTTAGGTATGCATTAAATAACACTAAGTCCAATGGACAGAATATTTTCTTTGATGTTTTAGTCCTTCTCATTATGTCAAAGTTTTATTTAGTGCTAGTTTTCCTCTAATACTTGATAATTTATCTGTAATAGACTATTTATAGGGAAAATAAATATCTATATTTTTATAAGTAATAATATCTTTCAGAATTTTGTTTTGTTTTCACACTATTTATTTTTTGGTAGTGATCAAACCGATGTAAGTACTCTACAGCTAATCTGTATGCTTGTGCCTGGCAATGTATTAATATCACTTAAATCTCCCAATGACTGTAAGAGGGAAGTATGATTCTGCAGATGAAGAAAATGTAGATTAATTTCTCATGAGATCAAATTTTCCTCTTACCTTTATCAAGATAAAATTCACGTAGATGTGTTACTTTAAGTATTTTAATGTGTTTTCAGATTTCTTAGTATATTTGCTTTTATGTATTCATCCTAATTCTAGAACATTCTCCTTATCTCCCCAAAACTCATATCCTTTGCTAGAACTTCCCAATTCCTTCCAACCAAGCAACCACTGATCTGGTGTCTCTGTATGTTGGCCTGTTTGGGGTATTAAATGCAAATGATCATGTATGCGATGTTTTATATTTGACTGTTTTCACTTAATATGTTTGCAAGATTCATCTATATTATAGCATTGATCTGCAATTCAATACTTTCTTTGACTGAACATTATGGGATGGGTAAGCCATATTTGTTTATTATTCATCAGATTGTGGAAGACATTAGGTTGCTTTGATTTTAGGGCAATATGAATAATGCTGCTAGGCACCTATGAGAACAAGTTTTTTTTTGAACAGCTTTCCACTTCTCTTGCGTATAGGCAGGCCTCTTAGAATTGCAAGGTGTATAGGAAAATTTGAGGAATACTAAGTACCATTACCACTAATAACGTATGAGTGTTGTGTTGCTGCATATACTCATTTAATACTCACTTAAAACTTGGAAATACCTAATTTCTGCTTTTTAAATTTAGCCATTCAAATATGTACCATGTTGTGTTAATTTACATTTATTTGCTGCCTACTATTATTGAACAACTTTTCATGTGCTTACTAGCTCTTTGAGTGTTAGAGAAATGTCTTTGCCTTTTGAACGAACCTTGTGCTCACCAGGCAGGCAATCTACAACTTGAACCACACCTGGATTTTATTTGTTTTTGTATTTGCCTGTTTGTATGTGGGCCTTGAACTCAGATCCAGAGCACTCTCCCATGGCTTTTTCTGCTCCAGGTTGGTGCTCTTCCAGTTGAGCCACAGCCCCACTTTGGCTTTTTGGAAGTCAGCTGGATTTTCTTGCCAGAACCAGGATCCTCCGATCTCAGCCTCCTGAGTAAACTGTCTAAAAAATAGAGTTGTCTTTGCCTATTACTTAAGTAAGATGCCTTTTTGTTGTTCTTAGGTTATACAATTTCTTTAAAAAAAAAAAAAAAAAAAAAAGCTAGCTAGGTGCCAGGAAAGTTCATGAGACTCTTATCTCCAATTAATCGCAAAAAAAGTCGGAAGTAGCGCTGTGGCTCGGTGGTAGAATGTGCTAGCCTTGAACAAGAAGAGCTCAGGGACAGTGCCCAGTCCCAGAGTTCAAGCCCCACGACCGGAGGGGGGGAGGGGGGAGGGGGGAAGGGAAGCTACCTTTGAAGCTACAGGAAAAAAAAAGACTGTGCAAAAACAGCAAAAAGCAACATGAAAACCATGAACTAGGGATTGTGTGTGCACGCGCGCTCGCGCGGGCCAGTTCTGAAGCCTGGCTGCTGACCCTGAGCTTCGTGCTCAAGGCTAGCGCTCCACCACTGGAGCCACAGCGCCACTTCCGGCTTTTGGGAGGAGGAGAGGGTCGTTTCAACGGAAATAAAGAGTCTCACGGGCTTTCGCGCCACGGCTGGGTTCAATGTGATCATCACAGGGAGTGGAGTCACATCCTCCGGGTTCAAGCCCCAACTCCACGTCTAAACTGCAACAGACGGCATACGAGGGGCATCCGAGGCGAGGGGAGAAAGACTTTCATCTCTTTGGGATTCCAAGTGGTTCTGGCTCGCGGCGCCTCACAACTGCCGAAGCAAACGAGAGGCTCGCTGTGAAACTCTTACCCTGGGCATCACTAAGCACTCCACAGGCGCCCCCAGAGCCCCCGCGCTACGCGAGGCGACAAGGCCCGGGCTCTTCCGGCCCAGCTCGCGGCCATCCGGTGCCCCGCCTCACCACAGCTCCGCGCAGACTCTTCTCTTCACGACCTTGTCCCCGGAGCCCGCCTCTGGCACCGGACTTCCGCTTCCGTGATCCGCTCCTCACTTCCGCTTCCGGGCCAGGCGAGCCAGGTTCCGGTGGCGTGACGTGAGTGCGCTGGGCCGGCGGGTGCTGGCGGCCGGTAACCGGGCGGCGGTCAGGAGTGGCGGGAGGGAGGAGCTGCCTTCGTCCAGGGCCGGAGTCGGAGCGGGGGCGGCCCTCGGGGTGGTCCTACGGCGGAGCCCGCCACGTGGCCTGTCCCTGGCCTGCACTGCCCAGCGGGCCTCGTGTGCCCGCCGGTCCCGCTTGGCGGCGGGGGAGATGCGGCTTTGTAGCTCCGCTCCCCTGCGCCGCGCTCGGATCCGAGGCCGCACACCCCCTCGCTTGCGGTAGACGGCGTCTCGGGCAGGTGGGGGTCGGGTTCACCGTGCTAGCGAGCTCGTTCGGGACAGGAAATGGCTAACTAGCGTTAAACCCTGATGCCACCTCGGCCAAGCCGACCCCCCACGCCGGGTCCTCGACGTACGGAAGTGGATTTGAGTTTCAGACCCTTTGATAATCGGTTGAGAGCATCATCTCCTTAACCCCTCCCCTTAACGCGCGAGAACGTTCAGATAATAGGACGTTCGTTTACAATTACAGAGGTCTCTTCTGATGCCCCACAGTATGTATAGTTATTAGATAGTAGTAGGTCGAGGTAATCTTCCTTAAATTAATGAACCACTGTCCACACGAGGAAGATAGATATGCTGCAAACAGTTTTTAAATTATTTCGAGCACCTCATACTTGGAACGTTGCCTGAGACTACTGTGGAATTCAGTCCTGTTTTGACAGGGCTGGTGTCCAAACTGCGATCCACCTACTTTGGGCCTCCTGCCATTGCTGGGATCAGCGGATGGGCAGTCCACAACTTCCCTTCAGTAGAGATGTGGGAAGGCTCTACTTTTCTGGACTGCACCTAATGCTCCCTCCCACTTTTCAGCCACAAACCTTGGGGGTGACAAGCATGCATAGTAGCAAACTATGGGTTAAGAAGGAATCCGGGAGAACTTTTCTGCTCAGGCCAGTCTCTAACCTTCCTATTAAGTTTTAATCACTGGTCCAGCACTATGCTATTCTCAAATCCCTCAACGACTTTAGGGAAAGAGCTAATTTCCTATTTTCAGGTTTGGGAGAATTAACTTGCTTTAGGTTATTCAACCTATGAAACTAGAAGCAAGAATTCAAACCCATGTCTATCTGGCTTTGCTGCACTTCTTTTGGGAAGTTTCTTTTTTTTTTTTTTTTGTCGGTCGTGGGGCTTGAACTCTGGGCCTGGGCGCTGTCCCTCAGCTCTTCAGCTCAAGGTGAGCGCTCTACCACTTGAGCTACAGGGCCACTTCCGGTTTTCTGGTGGTTTATTGGAGATAGGAGTCTCACAGTCTCTCCTGCCCGGGCTGGCTTTGAACCGTGATCCTCAGATCTCAGCCTCCTGAGTAGCTAGGATTACAGCCACCAGCACCCGGTTTCTTTTGGGAAGTTTCTAAAGTGCTAGATAAAAGGGAAATATTCAGAAATGTCTTTCAATATTCTAGCAGCTTCTTTATTGTTAAGTTGTGTAGTTAGGAAATAGCTTCTTATCAACATAGATGAGTTCAAACTAAATACTGCATGCTGTGGAAATACTCCTCTATGTGTCTGCTCCTTTTTATTCATAGTACATATGGTGCTTGTTTAGTAACATGTGTTTTACAAGCTGCACTCTGCCTTTGTTTATTCAATGTTGTGATTTTGATGTATACTTAATTAGGTGCCTTGAATGTGTGTGCGTGTGTGTATATATATATGTATATATATGTATGTTGTATTTCTTGCTTTTGTTCTCCAAAGCAGGTGTTTTTACTATAAATGAAGTAGGTTTGGGCTTTACTTCTTTCTCTTTTCTGTATTTTATAGAAATTGTGTTAGTGATCGTGAAAATACTGCAACATGGCTGACGTTAAAGAAGCTATTAACCGACTCATGAATGTGAATCTTCATGTGAACCAGAGATCTGTACGGGTGACAGAAACTGATGTCAGAAGTGAGTCTGAGCATTTCCACGTCACTATTGGAGCCACTGTACCTACTGGCTTTGAGCAAACAGCTGCAGATGAAGTGAAAGAGAAATTGGGGTCATCATGCAAAATCAGCAAAGACCGGGGCAAGATTTATTTTGACATTGCAGTGGAAAGCCTTGCTCAGGTTTGAAGCAACATTTAAAATTAGTAATTCTACACTTACGTTAAAATTTCATTTTTAAATGCAGTACTGGGGCTTGAACTCATAGCCTCAAGCTGTTAGCTTTTCCATTCCAAGCTTGCACTCTGCTCCTTGAGCTACAACTCTGCTCTGTCTTTTTGCTGGCTAATTAGAGATAAAAATCCCTTGATTTGTCTGCTTCTCCAAGGCTGCCTTCAAATCTCAGCCTGCTGAATAACTGGGATTGCAGGTGTGAGCCACCAGCACTGGATTTGACTTACACTTTCTAGTTTACAGGTCCCTCTGAGGTTCTCTTTGCTTTGCTCCAAATCAGGTGATAAAATTACTGCTGCTTGTTGTTAGGTGGTGATTTGTAATTTTGACTACTTATTATCTTTAAGTAGTTGTACAAAGGAGTTTCAATTCCACAAGAACAGTATCTTGATCAATGTCACCCCTTCCATAGATCTCTCCCCCATCACTTCCAACCCTACCTAACACCACAAGTTAACTGGTTCCATTTTCATATATGTACATTGTATATTATGACTATATTCTCCCACCTTTCCTTTCTAGTCTCTCTCCTTTTGACCTTACCTCCCCGATAAAACAAATTTATTATAAGTTTGACCACATTTTTAGTTTTGTATGCATTTGTAACATACATGTATTTAAAAAGCAAGTATTTTAAATATACTTTGTAAATATGCTTCCATTTGCTATGCTTTGAGTGTGTGCATGAGTGCATACATGTGTATGCACATACATGCATGCATGTATGTGTGCATGTTGTGTTTACTGGGGTTAGAATTCAGAACCTTAACTCTGTCCTTGAGCTTTTTTGTTCAAGGCTGGTACTGTACCACTGGAACCATACTTCCACTTCTGGATTTTTGCTGGTTTATTGTAGACCAGAGTCTCATGGACTTTCTGGCTTTGCTGCACTTCTTTTGGGAAGTTTTAAAATACAGGTATTAGGTACTGTAAAACTATTGTGCCTAGCCAGGCTCCAATGGCTCTTGTCTGAAATCCTTGCTACTCAGGAGGCTGAGATCCAGAAAATTGAGATTTAATGCCAGCATATGCAGAAAAGTTCCTGAGACTCCATAGTAACAAGCAAAAAAACCTACCTGGAGGCATGGCTTGAGTGATAGAGCACTACTTGGGCTAGTGAACCTTACATGTGAGGAAGGCCCTGAATGCAGATCCCAGTGCTGGGTAGGTGATGGCAGAACATTGCAATGGTAGGTAGCACTTGGAAAGTTCAAGACAGAGGATTGGGAGTTCAGAGCTACAGAACGACTTCCAGGCCAGCTGGAGCTACACAATGGGAACCCTTCTTAAACCAACAACGTAAAACTATCGCACCTAATTTATATAAATTTGGATAGCTTTTTCCAGAAATTTGTTTTTAACTTTTTTTTCCTTCCCAGGTTCATTGTCTACGATCAGTTGATAACTTGTTTGTGGTGGTTCAAGAATTTAAAGATTATCAGTTCAAAAATACAAAGGTGAGCTCTTCCAAATATAATAGCTGATATTTAGATATCTTCTCAAAAAAAAGCTTATTTCTGTTTTACACAGTCTGCCTATCATTTAGTATTATTAATTTTTTTTGACATGCTGGGAATCAAACTCAGGGTCTTTTTTTTTTTTTTTTTTAATTTTTTTTGGGTCATGGGGCCTGAACTCTGGGCCTGGGCGCTGTCCCTCAGCTCTTCAGCTCAAGGCTAGCGCTCTACCACTTGAACCACAGCACCACTTCTGGCTTTTTTCTTTTTGCTTATGTGGTACTGAGGAATTGAACCCAAGGCCTCAGGCATGCAAGGCAAGCGCTCTGCCACTGAGCCACCTTCCCAACCTCGTCCTCAGGGTCTTTTTTTTTTTGGTCCGGTCGTTGGGCCTGAACTCTGGGCCTGGGCGCTGTCCCTCAGCTCTTCAGCTCAAGACTAGCGCTCTACCACTGTCCTCAGGGTCTTGTACAAGATATGTACTATCACCAACCCATGCCATTTATAATAAATACTGGCCAGCTTTTATAATAAAATGTAGAGACTTATATCTTTACATCTCAAAAGTTGTCTTTGAGATTTTGAGGGAGGTACTGGTGATGGCTCACACCTGTAATCCCACCTACCTGGAAAGCTATTTTCTCACCAGTCGGGACTGAAAAGTCCATGATACTCTTATTTCCAATTAACCCAGCAAAAAGCCAGAAATGGAAGTGTGGCTTATGGGGTAGAGCTTCAGCCTTGAGTAAAGAAGCCAAGGAAAGCTAGAGGCTCTACATTTAAATATATATTAATAAGAAACAAAAAGTCTGATTTTGCCTTTAAGAGGTAGGTTTTAGATTTCTCAGCTGACAGGTATACATGGTTCCAAAATAGAATTGCTTCAAGAATCTGACTAAAGAACAAGTGGTGCTTTCTCTATTTTCTCACTGTTCTGCCTTAGCCTTGCTTTCCTCTCTGTCTTCATTTTTGAAATGAAGCCAACATAATATTTATTTGTTTTTTGGGTTTTATTGGGGTCTGGTCATGGGGCCTGATCTCTGGGCCTGGGCGCTGTCCCTCAGCTCTTCAGCTCAAGGCTAGCACTCTACCACTTGAGCCACAGCGCCACGTCTGGCTTTTTTCTTTTTGCTTATGTGGTACTGAGGAATCGAACCCAGGGCCTCATGCATGCAAGGCAAGCGCTCTACCACTGAGCCACCTTCCCAGCCCCTGCTTCATTCCTGTTTATTGCTTTTTATTCCTTTTTTTGAGCCTTGCATGTATGAGGCCCTCGGTTCGATTCCTCAGCACCACATAAGCAGAAAAAGCTGGAAGTGGTGCTGTGGCTGAAGTGGTAGAGCGCTAGCCTTGAGCTAAAGAGCTGAGGGACAGCGCCCAGCGCCTGAACTCTGGGCCTGGGCGATGTCCCTCAGCTTTTCAGCTCAAGGCTAGCGCTCTACCACTTGAACCACAGCACCACTTCTGGCTTTTTTCTTTTTGCTTATATGGCTGAGGAATTGAACCCAGGGCCTCAGGCATGCAAGGCAAGCACTCTGCCACTGAGCCACCTTCCCAGCCTCGTCCTCAGGGTCTTTTTTTTTTTTTGGTCCGGTCGTTGGGCCTGAACTCTGGGCCTGGGCGCTGTCCCTCAGCTCTTCAGCTCAAGGCTAGCGCTCTACCACTGTGCTCAGGGTCTTGTACAACGTATGTACTATCACCAACCCATGTAGGCCACGACCTACAAAAAAAGAACAAAACAAAACAAAAATAATAATAATTGAAAGACATTTTCATCTGTCTGTAAAACAATACAGTATAACAGCTGTTTATATGAGTATAAATAATCTAGAAATGACCTTAAAACCTGCAGACTTTAGTATCTATGGGGGCTTCTGTAACCCCAGTACTACAAAAAAAAAAATCTTCTAACAGATACTGACAGCTCCAGAAAATATGTGACCTATCTTTGAGAATCCTTATTTATCTTTCATTTCTCTCTTCTGCTGTAGAGGAGACTCAGGGAAGTTCCCTTCATTAATCTATGTACATTCCTCCTATTGTAGACAAAGTGTGCTGCCTGCTTTGTAAACAGTCTTTATACTTGAGAGCTGTTGGCCTTCTCCCTCTCCATGTCTTCCTGTACTTCTGATTTTCTGATTGACTTTTTTTTTTTGGTCATGGGGCTTGAATTCAGAGCCTGGACTCTGTCCCTGAGCCAGACCCATGCTTCCAGTTTTCTGGTAGTTAATTGGAGATAAGAGTTTTTACGGACTTTCCTGCCTGGATTGGCATTAAAACCATGATCCTCAGATTTCAACCACCTGAGTAGGTACGATTTCAGGCATGAGCCACTGGTGCCCAGCTTGACTTTCATTATACTTGAGAAACCTTATGTTATAATTCAGGGTTACAAAAACCATATAGTTCAGTTAAGATACGATTGGTATTCCTGTTATTATTTTCTTTAAAACAGTTTCTGAAGAAAGGGTTGATGCCAGTGTTATCCCACTGGTTTAAATACCAGTCTTCAGGAGCCTTTTATGGGAACGTTATTTGTAAATAGAACTTAATTAGCTAACTCTAAAGTTTATTATTATTTCAGCAGGTTTTAAGTAGTAGCAAAGCCTTCACTTCCATTACCAAGTCTCATTTCTATCAGTTAGTCAACTCCAACTGGATACAGAGAACATCGTGCTGTACTTTGTGAATAACTCTGAAGTTGCTGATCCCTTGAGGCTAGTGAGAAGTAAAGATTGAAGTAAAACTTTCTATCTCATGGCACTGGTTTTGTCAGTACACATGAATAAGGATTGAAGCACTGGTGATAATATAGGAAAAGAGAGACTTAGACTTTTAAGTAGAGCAGGCCTTTCAGAGGTTATACCTTTTAACTTGCTATTTTAAGTAATATGCAAGGGGCTTGCACTGCAAAGAGGCCATGTGAACAGCAAATATAGAGATCAGAAATGAGACAGAATGATCTTGAAAGAATGTAAGAGAAATAGGCCAGAATCATATTCCTTTGAACTTTTAAGGAATATAGATTTTCTGTGTGTAGAGGGAAGCTCTCAATGGACTTAAGCATGAGGGTACATCACTACCTTTAATTTTCAAAAAGGTGGCTATACTATTTAAAAATTAGATATATTTTTAACTGTTTAAAGTTCTTTTTTTTTTTAAGTTATCTTTGCGTTCTCTAGGTTTATGACTTTTCATACATGGGCATTCACTGCAGTATTTGGGGAGGGATGCCAGCTGGAAATTCTACCCTATTGGTTACTAGAACTACATGCCCTGACAGCTTCTATATAGTTGGCCAGTACCCAACTGCCTGCCTCAAGCTGTACTTTGACTTCACTAATAAATCATTCCTTGGTTTTTGTTCGTTTTTAAGTCTTTTTTTTTTTAACATAGTTAATACATATATACCCAAAAAGAAGTCTGTCAGTGAGGCATATGTTGCCCTCTTTTCCTCTCTTTCATTCACCTATTTCTTCTTAATGATTTTCACACATTGTTTCTTTACCACTTTTTGGCTTTTTGCTGCTTAAATTTTTATCTTAGTTGTATTTCTGATCGTTCTATCAGATTGCTTTTAACTTAATGTGTCTCTACCCTAATTTGTCATTGAAACTTGGATTTTCTTAATTGCAGGCATTTTCATTACTGTAGTAAATAAATAGACTAATGCAGTTTGTAACTAAAACAAAAGCAAGTCTTTATTGGTTCAAATACAGTTATATATTATATTAACTTATTAATTATTTTTTTGTTGTTGTTGGTCTTGGGGCTTGAACTCTAGGTCTGGGAGCTGTCCCTCAGCTCTTCAGCTCAAGGCAAGCGATCTACCACTTGAACTGCAGTGCCACTTCTGGTTTTCTGGTGGTTTATTGGAGATAAGAGTCTCTCAGATTTTCTTGCCCAGGCTGTCTTTGAACTGAGATTCTCAGATCTCAGCCTCCTGAGTAGCTAGGATTACAGGCAAAAGCCACTGGCAACCAGCATATTTATTTATTTTTTGTTCTTAATATATATTTTTTATTGTAAAAATACAGTACAGAAGGGTTAACAGTTACATGAGCAAGGTAATGAGTCTATTTCCTATTGAGCATCGTTACCCTCTCCCCTTTATTTTCCCCCTACCATCCCTTTCGTCCCCTCCTCTCTACCTTCTCCCCCCGCCCCCTGCAAAGTTGTAAAGTTTGTTTTCAACATACTGTCTTGACATCTTATTGGTACAATAGGTCATCCTGTATCCTTATTTCAGCATTTTGTTATTTCACTTCCCCTCCCCAAATTAGAAAAATGTATATACAAGATGCAGGACACTGGAATCAAATACAGAGACAACAGGGGTTGTACCATGGTGGAAGAACATGCAAAGAAACAAACAAAAAAATCACATAGTACATTATAAGTACATTAAAAAGAACAACAAATCAAATAACAGTTATGAAAATAGGTTTTATTCTCTGTCCTTTATAGGAAGAAGTTTTAAAGGATTTTGAAGATTTGGCTGGCAAACTTCCATGGTCTGACCCTTTAAAAGTATGGGAACTTAACACCAATTTCAAGAAAAAAAAAACAAAGCGTAAAAAGATAAATCAGAATTCAAGTAAAAGGAAGATGATTGATAATGGACAAGGAGACAAGTTAGATGAGAATAATGTTAAAAAAGAGTTTGCTGACGATCTTATAGGTTCACACATCTTAGACTATTATGAAAATCCAGCCATTAAAGAAGAGATATTAACATTAGTAGGTGAAGACTTGGCATCTTGCAAAGATGAGGCTGATGAAAGCTCAAAAGAAGATACTGAGCTTCGAGTGCTGAAATTTAGAGTCACATGCAGCAGGGCAGGAGAGAAGCATTGCTTTACCTCAAATGAGGCTGCAAGAGATTTTGGAGGTGCTGTTCAAGATTATTTTAAGTGGAAGGCTGACATGACCAACTTTGATGTGGAGGTAGGTACACTCTTCTGTGATTATGCAAGAAAGTTGTCACAGATTTGTAAAATTTTCCAAATTAACTGGGGCAAGTAGGATGGGGTTAAAAATAGCATGGGCCAACAGATAGACATGCAAATTTTAATTCCACAACTATGTAACATTGGACAGATTATCTTTCTGAGCTGTTTCAAATAGAGTCATTTAAAACTATACTGAAGGTAAATGAGATAAGACATTTGGAGTATTTGTGTATGCTAAGTGCTCAACACATAGGAGCTATTAAAAGTCCAGTTTTATAATTTCATTCTATCTCTTCTTTTTCTTGAGACAGGGTCTGACTTAGTAACTCAGCCTGAAACTCTCAACCCTCCTTGCTTTAATGCCATGATTACATTGAAGGCTTGTATCACCATGCTTAGTAAAAGATAAATACTTCTTATGGTGGGGCTAGTTATCAAACTCAGAGCAAGCACATTACAACTGAACTACATACATAGTCCTCTAAATCCTCATCTAAAATTTTTTTCTACATTATATAGACTTTCAGATTATAAAATTGATTTAGAATTAAAATATTTAAAATTTGGTTTTGGGTTCTTGCCTGCAACTAAAATGTGAAGTACATTTTAAAAATAAACTTCAACCTCAAGTTAGGATATCAGTGTTATATTATCAACTGTAGATACCTCTTTCTAGCTTGTTGCTTTTCCTTGTGACTACTCATGTGATTGATGTGGGTAAGAGATACTGAAATCTTTAAACCTCTTACATGTTAAGAAGTTCCTAGTAGCTAACATTTTTACCAAGAAGTCAATTTCTGTAGCTTTGAGGACACTTGAATCTGAGAAAAGTCATTTACTCTCTCTAACCATTTTTCCCCTTTGTCAGCTCAGAATATTTCCCGTACAACTCCATTTCTCATACAGCTGCCATGAGAATGAATATGCCAATTAGGACAGTGGTGTCTAAAAGTTAGCAAGGTGGCTCAGAGGGCAGATTGTAGAGTCCTGCTATTTGTATTTAAATCTCAACTTGTATGACTGGGCAAGTGAGCTGATATACTTGTGTCTCAAGAGGGGCTAGGAAGGTGGCTCCGTGGTAGAGTGCTTGCCTTGCATGCCTGAGGCCCTGGGTTCGATTCTTCAGCACCACATAAGCAAAAAGAAAAAAGCCAGAAGTGGAGCTGTGGCTCAAGTGGTAGAGCACTAGCCTTGAGCTGAAGAGCTGAGAGACAGCGCCCAGGCCCAGACTTCAAGCCCCACGACCGGACCAAAACAAAACTTGTGTCTCAAGCTTCTTATCTATAAAGGAGTTAGTACTTAGCTCCAAAGGAATTAGTATGAAATGGGGTCATTAGTGTAAATTAGAACAGTGCCTTGCATGTAGGAGTGTCAAGAGAAAGCTTTAGGTAGAAGACTGGGGTATGTATATTTTTGGGGAAGGTGGGGGGGGAGGCAGGCCTGGGGCTTGAACTCAGGGCCTGGGCACTATGCCTGAGTTTCTTTTGCTCAAGGCTAGTGCTTTACCAGTTGAGCCACTTTTTGGCTTTTTATGTGGTACTGAGGAATTGAACCCAGGGTTTCATGCATGCTAGCTAGGCAAGCACTCTACCACTAAGCCACAGTCCCAGCCCAGTGTTGTACTTTTCATTTGAATAGTTTCTGTGTTAGGACCAAAAAAAGGCTACTCAGACATTACTTAAATGAGTCAAATTTTTGAAAATCCTATGAAATATGACTTGTTGAACAGAAACCCGTCATACAAGTGCTTAAAAATTTTTTAAAGTAAATTTCCTATATATGGTTAAAAAAAAAAAAACAAGTGAAAAGACAGCCATTAGTGTCTCACTACCTAAATGAAAAGGTAGCAAATAGGAAGATCACGGTTCCAGGCTAACTCTGGCTAGAGTATGCCAGACCCTTTTTCCGTATAAAATATAGATAGGATGGCTTAAGCATCTGTCCCAGGGTGTGGAAAGAATAAATAGCATGCCACTCTAGGCTGGCGCACCCTGTCTAAAAAATAGCAAGAGCTGCCAGGCATCTGTAGCTCACACTTGTAATCCTATGGGGCATGGAGATCCAGAGGATCATGATTGGAAGCCAGCCCAGGCAGAAAAGTTCCTGAGACTCCATCTCCAAAACAACTAGCAAAAATCCTAGAGGTGTGTGATAGAGCATCAAGTGATAGAGCATCAGCTGAGCAAACATGAGGCTCTGAGTTCAAAGTCCAGTACCAACAAAAATAAACCAGAGCAAAAAGAGCTAGAGGAGTGGCTCAAACAGTTCCTATACAAAACAAAAGAACCCTACAAAAACAATAAAGCATCCGTAGTATGGTGGTAACAATGGATTAATTAGGGTAAAGGGTGTATTTAGAAGTACTGGTGGGAAGGAAGGGCTGATAGGGGAAAAACAAAGTAGGGGGGGTAACAAGGCTTGATAGGAAATGTACTCATTACCTTACTCATGTAACTATAACCCCTTTGTACAGTGTCTTTACAATAAAAAATATATATTAAAAAAAAAAAAGTACATGGTGAGCTCACGCCTGTAATCCCAGTATTGGAGAGACTGAGATCTGAGGATTGCAGTTTGAAGCTAGCCCACGCAGGAAAGTCTGTGAGACTTATCTCCAATTAACCACCAAGAAGCCAAAAGTGGAACTGTGGCTCAAGTGGCAGTGCTAGCCTTCAGAGACAGTGCCTAGACACTGAATTCAAGCCAGGCCTGGCATACACAAGAATAAAATGGATTTTTAAGGGTGTGAAGTATGGCTCAAGTGATGGAGCAGCTGTTAAGAATTAAGGTCCTGAGTTCAAATTCTAGTACCCACAAAAAAGAATTGATTTAGAATTAAAATATTTAAAATTTGGTTTTGGGTGCTTGCCTGCAACTAAAATGTGAAGTACATTTTAAAAATAAACTTCAACCTCAAGTTAGGATATCAATGTTATATTATCAACTGTAGATACCTCTTTCTAGCTTGTTGCTTTTCCTTGTGACTACTCATGTGATTGATGTGGGTAAGAGATACTGAAATCTTTAAACCTCTTACATGTTAAGAAGTTCCTAGTAGCTAACATTTTTACCAAGAAGTCAATTTCTGTAGCTTTGAGGACACTTGAATCTGAGAAAAGTCATTTACTCTCTGTAACCATTTTTCCCCTTTGTCAGCTCAGAATATTTCCCGTACAGCTCCATTTCTCATACAGCTGCCATGGGAATGAATATGCCAATTAGGACAGTGATGGGTACCTAATTAGATGCCAGTGTACCTCAAGAAAGGGCACAGTGGCACACACCTCTAATCTCAGCACTTAGATTAGAAAGATGACCATGAGGATTGCAAGTTCAAGATTTTTAATGAGTTCAAGACCAGCCTAGGCTACAAAGTGAGACTATGTCTCAAGTCTTAGCAATAAGTGCAGTTTGAACAATCCTAATCGCTTCTTTTATCTTGTTTAACTTGCTTATAGGTTCTCTTGAATATTCATGATAATGAAGTCATTGTGGGTATTGCATTGACTGAGGAGAGTCTCCACCGCAGAAATATTACACATTTTGGACCTACTACACTTCGATCAACTCTTGCCTATGGGATGCTTAGGTGAGAGAATGGATTGTTGCTGTCTTATTTAAAGTGAGTTCACCTTTTTTTTGGTCCGTCATGGGACTTGAACTCAGGGCCTGGGCACTGTCCCTGAGCTTTGCAGCTCAAAGCTAGCGTGCTGCCACTTTGAGCCACAGCGCCACTCCGGTTTTCTGATGGTTAATTTGAGATCAGAGTCTCACAGACTTTTCTGCCTGGACTGGCTTCAAACTGTGATCCTCAGATCTCAGCCTCCTGAGTAGGATTACAGGGTGAGCCACAGGTGTCCAGCTTGAATTTACCATTTTAAAATATTGTGTTAGAATTTAGTGGATGACAAAACTAAAAAACTACTAATTATTTGTCATATTTCCAGTATTGATTCCTTGTGATACTAAAAATACCACTCAAGGGCACTAATAGCTCATACCTATAATCCTAGCTACTCAGGAGGCTGAGATCTGAGGATTACAGATTGAAGCCAGCCCAGGCAGGAAAGGCTATGAGACTTCTATCTCCAATAAACTACCAAAAGGAAAAAAAAATACTAAAGTTTCTCAGTTTTCTTATTTTAAAATGGGAATTCTAGTTTTTATTTATTTATTTTGGCAGCTTAGGTGTTTGAACTGAGGCGACTCAAATTTGCTGGGCAGGCAAGCACTTTACTTCTGAACCAAGCCCCTGCTCCTTCAGCCCCCTGCCTCCATCAGCTTCATTTTTTTTTTGGTTTGGTTTGGTTTGGTTTTTGGTTTTTTTGGTTGATCGAGGGGCTTAAACTCTGGGCTTGCGTGCTGACCCTCAGCTCTTCACCTCAAGGCGAGCGCTCTACCACTTGAGCCACAGCACCACTTCCAGTTTTCTGGTGGTTAATTGGAGATAAGAACCTCATGGACTTCCTGCCCAGGCTGGCTTTGAACTGCAATCCTCAGGTCTCAGCCTCCTGAGTAGCTAGGATGACAGGCATGAACCACCGGCATCCAGCCTGTCTTTTTTTATTGAGATGGTGTCTAACTAATATTTTGCATGCAGTGGTCTCTAATCACCATTTTTTCAGTCTCTGCTTCACTAATAGCTATGAGTATGGACAAAATCCCTCATTCTTGGCCTGAAGCAGAGTTTTGTTTTTTGGGTTTTTTGTTTTGTCGGTTGGGAGGCTTGAACACTGGGCTTGGGCGCTGTCCCTGCGCTCTTCAGCTCAAGGCAAGCTTGAGCCACAGTGCCACTTTGGTTTTCTAGTGGTTTATTGGAGATAAGAGTCTCACAGACTTTCCTGCCTGGGCTGGCTTTGAACTGCGATCCTCAGATCTCAAACTCCTCCTGACTAGCTAAGATTACAGGCTTGAGCCACCTGGCTGCAGAGATTTTTTTTTAATGGTATATAATTTATAAATGAACACATAGAGCTTTTATTTTTTTCTTCTGGGACAAGATCTTTCTATGTAGGCCAGATTAGCTAAAACTCACTATCTCTCCTGAGCCTTCTAAGTTAACAGTTAGGTATCACCAAACCTGGCTTGCTCATATTTTCAATTATTATACTCACAGCAACCCAGGAATTATAGCAGAATTTTCCAGTTTTCAAAGTGCAGCACCAAGCTTTCATTTTCCTTTGCCATTCTTCCTATTATCTTCTCCAGGCTGCTAGTTTTGATACTACAAAATGAGTTTGATGTGGGACTTCAAAGAATTTGTGAGGATTGAGTGCAGAAACATGCAAAATACCTGTTCTTAAACATGTCTAGCAAGTCCTTGTGGTTAAATGATTTTCTTGCTTTTCTTTTTCTGCTGAGAACACATTGGAACATATTAAATCAATGCCAGTAATGGAAAGCTAGACTCCATTGCTTAAGGAAAAGCTCCTGACCTTCATTAATTTAACCAATGTATTATCTAATACTAGACAATATTGTTGGAGGCAGAGATACAGAGTTATTTGGGGTCCAAATATTAGAAATAAAAATAGAATAGAATTTTGATGTTGGTATAATTTGTGGAGGGGAAGGGAAAAAACAAATTGTTTAAGTAAGGATACAGGTGGACCCATTGCAACAATGAGATGTGCAAGATGTTATATCGAAAAACAATGAACTTTGGCTTTGGGGCGAGGGTTGGGAGGAGTGGAGAGCAGATGGGAAGGGGAAACAAAAGAGGAGGCAACAATGCTTGATATAAAATGTACTCATTCCTTTGCTCATGTAATTGTAGAATGAGGGCTGGGAAAGTGGCTCAGTGGTAGAGTGCTTGCCTTGTATGCATGAGGCCCTGGGTTCAATTCCTTAGCACCACATAAGCAGAAAAAGCCAGAAGTGGCGCTGTGGCTCAAGTGGTAGAGTGCTTGCCTTAAGCTGAAGAGCTGAGGGACAGTGCCCAGGCCCAGAGTTCAGGCCCCACAACTGGCCAAAAAAAAACACAGAGTAGAATGAAAAAGTAATAATAGTGCTGTGGGGCTGAGAAAAAAATCTTAGAGAATCATAGAAAAACTTAAAGCTGTGTCTCAAACTTGGGATTGAACTCAAGGCCTTATTGCATGCTAGGCATGCCCTGTACCCCTAAGCTACATCTCCAACCACAAATAACTACCTATGTACCTACCTATCAATCTGTCTGTTTTAGAGGCATGGTCTCACTATGTGTAGGCTGGTCTTGAACTTAAAATCCTCCAGGCTCAGCTTCTTGAGTGTTGAGGTTAGACATGCATCACCTTATCATATCACAAATTATTTGAGTCTTTTCATGTAGGCTGTTTTTTTTCTTTATTCCTCTAGGCTCTGTGCGCCACAACCCACTGATATAATAGTTGACCCAATGTGTGGAACAGGGGCAATACCAATAGAGGTAATAACATTTCCTTAGTTTTTGTTTTTTTTTTTTTAAGATAAGCAGATGATATACCTATAATGTTCTAGACCTAATGTGCAAATTAGACAATCTACCAAAGTTTAATTAGTGAACCTGAGTTTTAAAAGAATTAGAATAGTAAAGTTAGAACTTCTGTGCAAAGAACATAACCATTTATTTCACATAACAGTGTCATAGGACTAGATAATAATATCTGTGTCTGGATTACAGAGGAGGCAGAGAAGGAGACTAGGGAGTTTCCTTTCTGCAGCAGGTAAACTATTTCATCCACGCCAATTAATAGCAGGTAAGCTTTTAATTGAACAGCAAAAGATAATTGAAGCTATAAGCATAAGCTGGAGGGTAGTTTCATCTCTTTATAGTGAAAGAAATTATGCTTTTTAGTCAAGGTAGCTTTCTGGGGAGACAAGTGTAATTGTAAGAGGGGAGAACTTCTGAGGGGTAGCTCAGTGGTCAAATTCTTTCGCTAGTATGCAAGGGGCCCTAGGTTTGATCCATGTAGCACTGAAAAGAAAAAAAAAAAGTTAGGAATATTTTTATAAAGTTTAACAAGCCTGTACACAAATGTAGTTTTTAAAATTACTATGACATCAAGGAAACTCGAAATGAAAAGATTTTTTTTGTGTGTGTGTCGGTCATGGGGCCTGAACTCTGGGTCTGGATGCTGTCCCTCAGCTCTTCAGCTCAAGGCAAGCACTCTACCACTTGAGCCTCAGCCCCACTTCCGGCTTTTTCTGCTTATGTGGTGCTGAGGAATCGAACCGAGGGCCTCATACATGGAAGGTAGGCACTCTACCACTGAGCCACCTTCCCAGCTCCGAAAAGATATTTTCTAATGAAAAAATGTTTGAAAGAGTTTCAGTGAATCAGTGTCATCTGTAAATGATTTAGAGAGGGAGCTATCAGTAAAATCCCTTAAATTTGGATGAAACAGTAAATTCTTCCACAAAGTATACCAAAAGGTAATGAGAAGAAACTATAGGGAGATCCCACAAATTCTTTTGAGTAGGCAAAAACTGGACAGATGAGCAAGTCCAAAGTAACCTACAAAAGGACAAATAATCCAGACTAATTACAAAATGACATCTGTGACCTGGAAGTAAAAATCCAAGTGGGAAGTCTACATGATTATTTTCTGCTAGTAACAGCTACCGAGAAATGATTGTGTTTAAAGAGACCTGCACAAAGAATACCCAGTTGTGATCAAGAAGAATGCTAGGGACAGAGCAGAATACCATCTTGCTTCAGCCATGGGGTGTGTATGAAATATTAAGTAAGGCCACTGCATGCCAAGCCAGAGACACATAATGAGAATCAAAAAAGGCTAAGAAAAAAGTGAGCCATTTCAGGGTAAAAGTGAAGATGAAGTTGCCCACATAGTAAAGCTTAAGCTGGTATATGATCAAAATACGAATGAAATAGATCCACCTTTCCCTGGGTACTAAGACCAAAGTTAAGTGTTATTAGAGTACCCCAGCTGCCTTTAGCAAAGACCTGATAACAAAGCAGTTGGACTGCCCTCATACCAACACTCAGAACACCACTCCAGCTTTAGAAGGCACTGCCCCAGTAAACACTTTGTACCAGTTTTGCTACCATAGTAGCATTTCCACCCAGACCAGAGCAGAGCCAATTGGGCCCTACAGAAGACTTGTGACTGGTATAAAAAGTCACAGGTCTTTCATTTTCATAACATACTGTAGCATGGTTGGTACAGACACCCTGTCCTTTTTCCTTTTTGACGATAGTCTTGTCAACTTTGTAAATTGGTGAATTACCCTCCTGTGTTCCCTCTCCTGCTATTACAAAATCAGATCCCAACAAGACTTTTTCTCAGGTGGCAACTATCTTTATTGAAAACTAGAGGAGCTTTTCTTGTCTATCCATGATTTCTACGTGATGGAGTAGAAAGGACTCCATTCACCTGGCTAGAGGTGAGGATCCAGAAGTAGAGTACTGCCTTACCAAGCATAAGGCCCTGAGTCAAACCTCAGTATTTCCACACACACACAAAAGAATTAAACTTTAGAAGTACTATAAAAAAATACATGTTGGGGAGTCAGAATTGCTGAGACTTGCATTGAATTCTGAAATCCTTTTCCATCCCTCCCATTCAAATGTAGCATACTTTTAGTATTCCTTGTTGGTTGTGGGGCTTGAACTCGGCCTGGGTGTTGTCTCTCAGCTCTTCAGTTCAAGGCAAGTGCTCTACCACTGGAGCCACAGTGCCACTTCTGGTTTTCTGGTAATTTATTGGAGATAAGAGTCTCATTTACTTTCCTGCTTGGGCTAGCTTTGGACCTCTGGCTTTGAAACCACAATCCTCAAATCTCAGCTTCCTGAGTAGCTAGGTTTGCAGGTGTGACCCATCAGCAAAATAAAAAGCATTGTATTCATGGTTGGGATATTCATTCCTCTTACAAAAGTGGTATTCTTACCACCAGTCAGGGTAGAATCCTTCTCAGTTTTCCTATTAGAAACTTCCTTTTAATCAGCACAAACGACTGTTCAGGTTTAGGATAGTATGTCATGTCCTTCTATAAATATGTCACAGCTTGGTATTTATGCTCTGACTTAAAATCCTTTCAGGGAGCCAGATGCTGGTGTTTCTCCTGTAATCCTAACTACTCAGGGTGATGGAGATCTCGGGATCAAGGTTCAAAGTCAGACTAGTCTATGAGACTCCAATTAATCACTAAAAAGTCTGAAATGGAGCTATCACTGTAGTGGTAGAACACCAGCCTTGAGCAAAAAAGCTAAGGGATAAGCACCCAGGCCCTGAGTTCAAGCCCTAGTACCAGTATACACACACTTGCACACACAAACACACAGTCCTTTTGTTGGTATACTCATTATTCAAAAGTATTTTATTATAAAGTGCTCAAATATACCAATTTATATAAACTTGCACAAACCACAACGATGTGGGTTTGGTTAGCTTTTTAAAACCGTTTATTTAGGTACTATAATAAGTGCTTTCAATATAATAGACATTACTGGGTGATGGACTGAATAAAATACTGAATCTATCTTTTGAGTTGCTAGGTCAGTTTGAAGGCAGACAGGCATAGACACTGTTAAAACTGGAAATGTACAGTGGAAAAGGCATGTACAGAGTACTTTCAGAGGGACAGATCTGAAGTAGTTTGAGAAGATGAGATTGGTATCCATAGACTGAGATTTTGAGATGGGTACCAACTGAGCAAACAGAGAAAGAACAGGAAGGCAGTTCCAGCAAGGGAATCTGCAAAGTTGGCAACATGCATAGTTTTAATTTCTTTTGTTGGTCATGGGGCTTGAACTCAGGGCTTGGCCACTGTCCCTGAGTTCTTTTTGCTCAGAGCTCCACTTCTGGTTTTCTGGTGGATGATTGGAGATAAGAGTTCTCATGGACTTTTCTGTCCAGGCTGGCTTTGAACCACTCCCCTCAGATCTCAGCCTCCTGAATAGCTACAATTACAGGCATGAACCACCAATGCCCAGTTCCCTTTAATAATTTAGCTTGTTTTTAGTTTGTTAATTTTTTAAATTAATACTCTTTGTGTTTCAGGGAGCTACTGAGTGGTATAACTGTTACCATATTGCTGGTGATAACAATCCACTGGCTGTGAAAAGAGCAGCAAATAACATCTCATCTTTATTGACCAAGAACCAAATTAAAGAAGGGTAAAAATTTTTAAAGATTTTGTAGCATTTGTTAAATAATAACTTTTTGTATTGACTTAATATCCATATTGCAGTATGACACCATAAATGAACAGTAAGGGGCTGGGAAGGTGGCTCAGTGGTAGAGCTCTTGCCTTGCATGCATGAGGCCCTGGGTTCGATTCCTCAGCACCACATAAGCAAAAAAAAAAAAAGCTGGAAGTGGCGCTGTGGCTCAAGTGGTAGAGCGCTAGCCTTGAGCTGAAGAGCTGAGGGACAGCGCACAGGCCCAGAGTTCAGGCCCCACGATCAGACCCAAAAAACAATTTTTTTTAAATTTAAAAAAATAAATGAATAGTAAGATTCCATTTAAACTTATTGAAAATAAGATTTTTAAAACATGATTTTCCCAGTTATACTTTTTTGTTTCTATTTTTTCTTCCTTTCTTCATATATCTTTTTCAAAAAGCAGTTAACTGTTATAGCTTATAATTTTATTTAACCATTGTTAAACTAGATTCATTTTTATTTCTCAAAAATTTTAGTTATGGGGCTGGGAAGGTGGCTCAGTGGTAGAGCACTTGCCTTGCATGCTCGAGGCCTGGGTTCGATTCCTCAGCACCACATAAGAAAAAAGCCAGAAGTGGCGCTGTAGTACTAGCCTTGAGCTGAAGAGCTGAGGGACAGCGCCCAGGCCCAGAGTTCAGAAAGCCCCACGACCAGACTGGAAAAAAAAAAAATTAGTTATGTTTAATGACTATATACATAATATTCCATCATGTAGAAATACCAGTTAATGTAGCCATTCTCTTGTTATTTAGCCCTTAAAGGAACCTTTGTTGAAAGGACCTGAAATCCATCCCATATTTTATTTTCTCATTTTGTTAGTACTAGAGCTTGAATTAAGGCCTTCATGTGATTGCATGGCTTGTGCTCTAACTGTTGAGCCATGCTTCCAGTCTAGTATTTTGCTGATTAATTGGAGATGTTGTCTTGCAGACTTTCCTGAAAGGCTGGCTTCAAATCAAGATTTTCTAGGTCTCCTCTTCTCAATTTCTGAATGTCCAAAGAGATGCTGACATACTATCTGGTTTAAGTTCTCCAGTCACTCTTCTTGTAAAAGTTCGTGTGTCTTTTACATCTGAGTGTTCTAGCCACTTCTTTCTTTTTTGTTTTGTTTTCTTTTTAATTTTTTGAGATTGTCTTCTGGCATTTGCTTTGTTGCCTCAGGCTGGCTTTGAACTGCCTTGGGCTTCCAAGTTCTTAGATTATAGTTATGTACTACCATACCTCTATATTTCCCAAAGACTAAATTAGATACTTAAGACATAAAACAACTGCCACCCCTACATCCCAAGTATTCTTTTTTTTTGGGGGGGGGGTCCAGTCGTGGGGCGTGCACTCTGGGCCTGGGCGCTGTCCCTCAGCTCTTCAGCTCAAGGCTAGCGCTCTACCACTTGAGCCACAGCACCACTTCTGGCTTTTTTCTTTTTGCTTATGTGGTGCTGAGGAATCGAACCCAGGGCCTCAGGCATGCAAGGCAAGCGCTCTACCACTGAGCCACCTTCCCAGCCCCCAAATATTCTTTTCTAAACAAAATATCCCAAGGCTCTTTAACCATAAGCCCACTTTTTTTTTTTTGTCAGTCGTCGGGCTTGAACTCTGGGCCTGGTGCTGCCCCTCAACTCTTCAGCTCAAGACATGCGCTCTACCACTTGAGCCACAACTCCACTTCTGATTTTCTGGTGGTTAGTTGGAAATAAAGAGTTTTACAGACTTTCCTGCCCGGGCTGGCTTTGAATCATGATCTTCATGAGCCTTCTATGTAGCTAGGAGTAGTGGTAGTATGAACCACCAGTGCCAGCTGTTTGTGTTAAGGGCAGGGATGTAACCAAAGGCTACACAAGTGCTATATGACTGAACTGCGTAGCAGCCCTCAGGCTTAAGTTGTAAGTTCTGTAGTTGACCATATCATACCATTGTGTCTTCGTTAACTTTTGAAGTCACTGGTTACATGCATGTTTTTCTAGTAAGCTGAATTTCTTTTAATCATTACCATACATGTGAATTACGGGTATCCTTGTTTACATGTGTTCTGATTTAGTAGTGTGTATGGATTAAGACCTGAGAATGTGTATTCTAGCAAGTTCCTAAGTAAAGCTTGATGCTGTTGGCCTACAGATGAAATTTATAGTTTTAGAACATTTTATTTACCTAATATTTGGGTTTTCATTTTTTTAAGTATTTTAACAGTTGTCTGACATACTGTTTCACATTTATTGAAGTTTTGAGGCTTAATGTAACTACATACTGTTTGTCTAGCTTCTAAATATTCTAATTATTCAAATTCTCTGCAGTCAAGTTTTGCTGACTTACCTCATAGTAGTATATTCATCAATTTAAGGGTAGCTTTTTAGTGTTTGATTTATATATTTTGTTATATTTTTAGCACCTATGTTTACAATTTTCAGCATACGAATCACCTTTATTGTTTTGGGTGCCAGGACGAGGGTTTGGAACTGAGCACCAGGCCAATTGATCTATCATTTTAGTAGTTATGCCTTCAGTATTTTCTGCTTATTTTTTGGATAAGGCCTTAAACTTTCTTCCCAGGCAGGTATGGACCAAAATCTTGTATTTGCTGCCCTTCTGTATAGGTAAGATTATGAGCATTAATCATCAAGCCTGGCTTGTTCTATGAGATAGGGTCTCAGTAACTTTTTTGCGTCCTGGCCTCAGACTTGCTCCTGCAATCTAGTAGCTGGGATTAGCAGTATAAATCATTACACCTAGCCTGAATTTTATTTTTAAACAGCTCATTATTAAATACTCTGTCAAATTTATGCTCACAGTCTTTGACTAGCATATAATTCTTAGATTATACAGTATTGCTATGTCTTGTTTATTAGAAGTTACTTCTGAAATGTTTATTAAATCTTTTATATTATTATGTCCAGTCTGTCTACTGTCAAGCTTTCAATAGGTTTTTCTTCCTTGGGTTCTTTAAATATAGTGTGGCACATATTTTTTTTTTGTAGTTTCAAAACAACTAGCTGTACGTGTACCAGTTTTTTTTTGTTGTTTGTTTTGTTTTGTCATGGGGCTTGAACTCAGGGCCTGGGCACTGTCCCTGAGCATTTGCACTCAAGGCTAGTGCTCTACAACTGAGTCACAGCTCCACTTCCAGTTTTCTGGTAATTGAAGTTCAAAGTCTTGACTTTCCTAACAAGGGTCGAGGGTCGCTTTGAACCGTAATCTTAAAATCTCAGCCTCCTGAGTAAGTAGGATTACAACCTTGAGCTACAATTGCCTGACCAATTATTTGTTTCTTTAGGTTCTCTGTTTATACTAGATAAGTCACCACACTTTTTTCTTTAGATGTGTCACTTCCTAACCTTGTAATTCATCAATAAACCTCCTTGTGTTTTAAATTTGTGCTTCAGTGCTGTAAAGTTCTCTTAACAATTTTTTCTTAAACTAGTTTTCCCTTAATCTGAATCCTTAACTTGTAGATACAGATTACGCCTACATCTTTTGAATACCATTTGTAACCACTTTTCAATTTTACTTCATTTTCCATCTCAGTCATTTTTAAGTTTTTCCTTATGACCATGTTTTCTTCCTACATCTAATTTTAAGATTCTGATTAAGAAGTTGATGTTCTCACTTATTCTTATAGCATCTTATACTTTTCTACAGCAGTCTGCTCATAAGTCTTTTTAGACATTTCCTACTTCAGAGTGTGTTGAAATACCTCTTCTTTGTCCCCACAGCAAACAGTCCTGGGGCCTGCCTATTGATGCTGTTCAGTGGGATATCTGTAATCTCCCATTGAGAACTGGCTCTGTGGATATCATTGTAACAGACATGCCATTTGGAAAAAGGTAGATGGGATAAATGTTTTATTTCACCCTTTGGTTGGTTTTTTTTTCTCCCAGAGAGAAAAAACCTTAGGTTCTTTTTAAAACTTAAGAGTACTGAATAATTTTAACAATATGAACTCATCCAGTTGTTTCTTGTAAGAATTCTGGAATATAGTAACACATTCTCATCTATCACAGGAGTTTCATTTTGAAACTATACATGATTTCCTAGCCCATTGCTGAATTATTTAATATATATCACATAACAAGACAGGAAACTTGGTTCTGTTTCTTAAATGATTTCTACTCACTAGTTTGGTTTATATGGTTTGAGTGCCTACATTTTTATTGAGAACAAAATTATCGTTATTAAAAATTACTTTTTTTTCCCTGTCGGTCATGGGGCTTTAACTCAGGGCCTTGGAGCTGTCCCTGAGCTTTCTCACTCAAGATTAGCATTCTATCACTTCAAGCCACAGTGCCACTTTCAGATTTCTGGTGGCTAGTTGGAAATAAAAGTCTCACGGACTTTTCTGCCCAGGTTGGCTTCAAACTACCATCCTCATATCTATGTCCTGAATAGCTAGGATTACAGGCAAGAGTTGCCAGTGCCTGGCTAAAAAAAAAAAAAATCCTTTTCCTTTCCATCAAAATCATAAGCAGTTTACTAATTCTAAATTTATTTCACTGAGATAAACTGGCAAAGCTTTGGCTTCTCAAAGTACCTTTTTAATACCTCATCATGCATCAGATTTTATTTTCATTTATGGTAGGCATGAATATTTACTATTTGAAACATTAAGTAGTTAATTTGTTGGTCTTATTTTGTAGGATGGGCTCCAAGAAGAGAAACTGGAATCTGTATCCAGCTTGCCTGCAGGAGATGAGCCGTGTCTGTAGACCGGGGACAGGCCGAGCAGTACTACTTACTCAGGACAAGAAATGCTTTACCAAGGTGCTGTACATTTGCTTATTAACTCTTAACCTGTGACAACTTCAGTATTTTTAAAGCAGACCTATTAAGTATTTGTTCTTGTCTCTTAAAACATTAAACATCGTAGGTTGTTGTGTAGAAGCAGATTCTCAAGCTTGCTTACTTCTGCTTTTTGTTTGTACACAGGCATTATCTGGAATGGGACAAGTGTGGCGAAAAGTTCATACAGTGTGGGTCAACATAGGAGGTCTTCATGCTGCAGTTTATCTTCTAAAACGTACACCTCAAGCTTTTGTACATCCTTTAGAAAATGAAAGAGCAACTTCTTAGTTATACAAAGAATGAAGGTGATTAATACATTTGGACTTCAGAACACTGAAAATGTCAACATGAAGAGCTTCTTAGAAAAGTAACAGAAGCGCTATTTAAATTATTCCAAAGTTCCACTTCGATTAACAAGAGATGTGAATGAAACATGAGACAATTTTTGAGAATGCAGAACTTTTTCTTGTAATTCCTTTGAAGGGGTAGCTAAGCTGTGTTTTCCTTAAAATGCTTGGGAATCCTGGCTTTAGAACATTTTTCTTAAGGCTCCCTAGTTGTGGGAAAGACAGGAGAGCATATGGTCCCAGTATCTCAGGCTATGTTTATTGCCTGTGCAGCTTTGCTATTCAGTAGCTCAGGTTCCTTACCTCAACATCAAAATGAAGCATTATTTCATCTTTTGAAGTTTACGAGATGAAATCTCTATCATTTGCCTTAAAGATTAAAACATGCCTCTCTTGATACACAATACTAAAACATAGTATAGGATTTACTAAAGAAACTATAAATATTTCATAGGATAGTTCTATTTATAAATAGCAGAAATATTGGTTGACAAGCTATAGAACCAACAAGTCAGAAGTTTTCTTTCAGCGAAGTATATTGCGTTTGAAAACAAAATGGATAGATGAAAAAAAAACATGTCTTTGAATGAAAAATTGGGAACATGATGTAAAAAATCATGCTCAGGGCACGGTTGAACTGAGAGCTCTTCTGTAGGAAGGAAGCCTTGTACTTAAAACTTCAGCACTGTAAAAATAAACATAATCTTAGTTTGGGAACTGTAATTTTTGGTATTTATGTAAGTGTCTTCCTGTATCACCATTCACATGCAGCTTAATGAGAACTAACAATAAAGGTTTATTTTGTAAAAGTTTATTTTGGCATATCCAGCTATAGCTGTTAAGCTCCTGGCACTGAATAAAAGTTTCCCCAAAATTCTTGTCAGGAACAGGCTTCATCCCCTTTTTGATAATTGTCTGCCCCCAGTTGCCAACTCTGAATCAAGTGTTCCAAGGAAAGCTAACTCAGCTGGGACTTTATTGCCTAAATGGTGTTTGAAACATCCACTGTGAATTTGGAACTCTGTATATGCTCAGATTCAAATTCAAAATTCATGCCTCTTTTGTTTTACACTACAAAAGCATAGTGAAGAATGACCAGTAGTTTGCTGCCACTGCCTTGAATTAAGGTATTATGCAGTTTTCACCATTAATGCAAATGTCAGTGTAACAATTTTTCAGGATAAACTACAAAGTTGCAACACATTTCACACTTTTTTGATGCATTTATTGACAAACTCATAAACAGGGCATTTATTTGCATAGTATAATGCCCAACAAAAAAAAATAAAAATATAGCCACGTTTGTACATTCATTCATTTGTAAAAAGACTTAAGTGCACCCTGACATATGAGTTCCAGGTGTGCACACAAATATTTCTTTGCTTTTCATCTGGCCAAAACTTGACAATATGAACAAAATGGCTTCTTAAGTTTCTCTGCTATTACATGTTTCTCCAGCCAATATAATGTAGTACTTTACCCTTTAAATTACTTAAGTAGCATTCTAGTTTGAAACCTCTATTGGCTTTATGTCCTTTCAAGGAAATTTTAAGTACTAAAATGACTCCAGAACATACCCTGCACCAACACTATTTAGAACTACATTCTATTGCTTAAGTAATGCTAAGTTAAACTATTTCTAAAGCCAGAAAGACAGTCTTCATACTTTTATTCCATATAGTCTCTTGGGTCAATTTTGTATAGCATTTTTAAACATAGGTGGTATAAAAAACAGTGAGCCAGCCAGGTGCCAGTAGCTTATGCCTGTAATCTCAGTTTCTCAGGAGGCTGAGATCACAAGATCACGGTTCAAAGCAAAGACAGCCCAGGCAGGAAAGTCCGTGAGACTAATAAACCACTAGAAAACTGGAAGTGGCGCTGTGGCTCAAGTGGTTAGAGTGCTAGCCTTGAGCTGAAGAGCTGAGGGACAGCACCCAGGCCCAGAGTTCAAGCCTCATGACCAATAAAAAGTGGATTGAGCCATATCAGCAACTGGCTGGCTACCCATTGAAGATAATAGATGTAGTTAATCCAATCCACTTTGATATAGTGTACCACCAGAAAAAATGACAGGGTGAAATCCAGTTGCTACCTGGTTTCAGGCTTTGAATTCAATGGAAATTTCTTGAAATTCCTACAATTCAATGTATACAACATTAGAGTCAAAGGACCCACTAAACCCTGTGTCTGGTCGTTACCTGTATTCTCTTGGGGTACAGTGACCACTGTATATATCTTAAAGTGACTCCTCACCTCCCTAAATTGGCCTTGCTTTGCAGCTCTTTAAACGTTTTGGTAATGTCCAGCCAGACCTTGGGTGCAAATGTGACCTTCAAAAGGCTGTGTCCTATTGGTCTTCCAGATCTAGGCCAGAATGTTTTCTCACCTGATGTAGTTTTGATTTTGTTGTTGTTTTTAAAGCTGAAAAGGTTTCCTTCTCTTGTTGGACTTCAAATGCCTTAGACACACTTATGATCTAGGAGTAGACTATCCTCACAGGTAGGTTCTGCATCTATTCTGGGGGTGGTAGTAGGGAACTTCAATGGGCATGACCCCTAGGCCCTAAGGAAATGTTGTCTTTTCCCGTGGCCATGGCTGCGTTCTTCTAATCTCTTTTTCCTGCCTTGTAAAGAGGATATTCATAATGAATATTTCAGCCCAGGGATAAATATAACCTGGGTCCTAGTTCTTTTAAAAATGTCTAACTTCTGTAAGATGAACATGAAAAATCTCTTTTCCTGCCCCCACTGAAACTTATGGGCAAATACCTGCTGTTTAGAGGGCAAAAGAAAGTTTTCTAAGTCCTTTTTACATTGCTGAGTTCTTTTATTAGATTTGGCTAAAGAGCTGTTGGCTAGGATCCCTCTAGATTCTGTCTCTAGTTTTTGGGCTGTAACCTGGCTATCTTGTTCCTCAGACTGTAATATAAGAAGGAAATAGGCAGGATAAGGGATCCCAGTGCTTCTCTTTGGGGCCTTCCTCTTTTCTCTTTAAAGGACAATAATATGATCTTGTCACTGGCAAAGGGCATAATGTTTCTCTTCCTGTTTGGACAAAGTCTTTTCATTAACAGGGTTTGGCACTCAACGTCCTCATCTGAGCCAAATTTAGGTCAAAAACAAAAATTCAGCAAACTGGGTCTTTAGGCCATATAAAACAAGCAGTATTAGTTGGATGCTGGTGAGATCTGAGAATTGAAGTTTAAAACCAGCCTGGGCAGCAAAGTCCATGAGGTTCTTACCTCCAGTTAACCTACCAGAAAACTGGGAGTGGAGCTGTGGCTCAAAGTGGTAGATTGCTAGCCTTAAACAAAAGCACAGAGACAGCTCCTAAGCCCTGAGTTCAAGCCCCACAACTCACCCCCCCCCCCCAAAAAAAATATCTGATCATCTTGTTTTTGGTTCAGGGACTGACTCTGCTCCTCACACCTCAACATTCTCCCCCAATGGACTATCAGAGAATATCTATGGGATCCCTTTGGCTCCACTGCCCTTGGTTTTCTTAGGCTACAATGATTGTTGTTTCCCATTCTCAGTAGGTTCCTTCCTCTGTGACTATTCTGTGCATCGAACAGCCCTAAATGGAGGTTTCTTGCACACCCTGAAACTCATTAGGTCCACATCTGGCAATTTCCCTTGCAAGAGAGTGAAACTTTTGATCAGGACTAACCTCTGGTTGTGTCCAGAACACATCTCAGTCACACTCAACCTCCAAAATACCCATTCTTCAAGGCAGTACTACCTAGCTCATACAAGAAGTTGCCTGGTGTGGAGATGCCTGCTTTTTCCTCCCTGTTGTTCCCGGTGCCTTCAGGAACTGTTTCATGTAGGAAGTTGCCTGGTTGCCGACGTGCCTGCTTTTATCCCTGTGTCACTCCTGCTGCCTTCAGGAACTCTGTCAAGAATGGAAGGTCATGAATAAAAAGACTTTTGGAGAAGTATGTCCTCTAAAATAGCATACCGCTAGGTAAACAGACAAAACCAAGAACTCTCCACCTGTAAAGCCAAATACCAGCTCCTAGATTTGTGATATAACAGTCTTCTATAATTAGCATCAGCTTGAAACAGTCAAAACTAGTCTTATCTTAAACCTTATCATAGTCTGTCAACAGTTGTAAGCCATAATTATAGCTATACCAAACCTTTCACTAAAAAGGAATAAAGCTTACCTAGTTCAAATCTTGCTAATCAAATCTTTAAAAAACCTCAAGCTCTCACAGCTTTCATCAATTTTCTCATGCAAGTATAAAAATGATTTGTCCTAGAAGTATAGGCAAAAGTATGCATGGCACTACTTCAGAAATGGGAAAATGGTTAAGAAAACGTAAGAGTACTGAAATAGTGAGTACAGGAAACACAGAAGAGCAATTGGTAGGACCCATGTATTCAAGAGTCCAATAGCCGTTTCCTCCATGAACAGAAAATTAGGAAACCTAGGTTACTACTATAACCTGCAAGTTTCAAAAAGTATATCTTCTCAAGATGTTTTCCATTCATTCAGGGTTTCTCTTGTTTGGAGGAAAAACAATTGAGAAGTTTATGGACAAAGTAAAAGGGATGTGTTGTATCATGCACTTGCCTTGTATGCATGAGGTCCTGGGTTCAATTCCTCAGCAGAAAAAGCCAGAAGTGGTGCTGTGGCTCAAGTGGTAGAGCACTAGCTTTGAGCTAAAGAGCTGAGGGGCAGTGGCCAGGCCCAGAGTTCAGGGTCCACGACAGACCAAAAAAAAAAAAAAATCTCTGGGGCTGGGAATGTGGCTTAGTGGTAGAGTGCTTGCCTGGCAAGCCTGAAGCACGGGGTTCGTTCCCTCAGTACCACATATACTGAAAAAGCTGGAAGTGGCGCTGTGGCTCAAGTGGTAGAGTGCTAGCATTGAGCAAAAGAAGCTGAAAGACAGTATCCAGTCCCTGAATTCAAGCCCCAAGACTGGCAAAAAAGGCCAGAGAAATCCTGGTGGCTCAGGCCTGTCATCCTAGCTACACAAAACGCTGAAATCCAAGGATTGTGGTTCCAAGCTAGCTGGTGCAGGAAAACTGTGAGACTCTATCTCCAGTTAACCACCAAAAAGCCAGAAGTAGAGCTGCGGCTTCAAGTGGTAGAGTACTAGCCTTGAGCACAAAAGCTCACACAGAACTCTGACAATCTCAAAGACCTTTTTTTTTTTTTTTTTTTGGGTCCGGTCGCGGGGCCTGAACTCTGGGCCTGGGCGCTGTTCCCTCAGCTCTTCAGCTCAAGGCTAGCGCTCTACCACTTGAGCCACAGCACCACTTCTGGCTTTTTTCTTTTTGCTTATGTGGTGCTGAGGAAACTGAACCCAGGGCCTCAGGCATGCAAAGCAAGCGCTCTACCACTGAGCCACCTTCCCAGCCCCAAATCTCAAAGATTTTTAAGACTATTTCCACTGAATAGCAAATAGATTTTCATATTCAATGGGTATAGCCAACTGTTCTGAGGATCTAACAAGAAATTTTAAATTAAAAAACACCACTTCTAATGGCTTTATGAAGGTATAACTAAGTTGTTGACATAAAAAATACTTCAGTGCTAAAATAGGCTGATATGAAGCTGGGTACCAGTTGCTCATGCCAGTAATCCTAGCTACTCAATAGGCTGAGATCTGAGGATCAAGGTTTGAAGCCAGTCCTGACAGAAAAGCTTGTGGCTCTTGAAGTACCAAAAAAGCTGAAACAGGGATGTGCCTCTACTGGTAGAACACTAGTTTTGAGCACAAAAGAGGGACAGCACCCAGGCCCTAAGTTCAAGCCCCAGGACCAGCACAAAAAGTTTCTTAAATGAGACAAGTCCAATTTTTATTTTGCCAATGCTCAGTATAAGGGAAGATTATCAATGTTCACATTAGGTATTCTATAATCTATAATGCAAATCTACAGTTAACTGCCACATTTCCATGCTGGAACAGCACAACCTAGAAAACAAGGAAGAATACTAAGTGTGTGCAAGACACTTTATAAAGACATTTACATTTCACTCAAGTGTGGCTACATGTCACACAGTAATAGGAATACAGCAGTACAAGACTCAATAAGAGACTATGCCCTCAAGTTCAGCATAATTAAGGCAGCATGAAATATACTGCACATGAAATATACTGAATCAAATACAACTGTTAAAGGGGCCAGGAGAAGCACTGGTAACTTTTAAATATTAAGATCTAGCTAATGGGATAATAGATCATGGAAGGCAAAGTTGGAGGGAAATGAAATTTCAACCTTAAGTAGTGAAGGGTAAGGAGTAGCAAATGTGTATCATTCCAGAAGGAACCACCGTACAAGTTTATATGACATTGTCACTATAGGTTGATTCAGCAATCAATCACATGTGAATTGAGGTAGTATTTGAGTATATGGAAAATAATGAAGTAAAACATGGTTTTTAAAATCTCAAGGTTGTCAGTGTTGTGGCAGGAGCCTATAATCCTAGCTACACAGCAGGTAGAGACTGGGAGGCCAGCCCAAGCCAAAACAAAAGTCCCAGTACCTCAATTCAACCTCAATTTAAAGGGCAGGCACCAATCATCCCAGCTAGGCAGGAAACATAAGATCGTGATTTAGGCCTTCACAGATAAAATGTCAGGCTCCCATTTAAAAAATGAAAGCATGAACAGGTGGGATTATGGCCCAAGTGGTAAAACGCAAGTAGTATAAAGCCGAGTTCAAGCCCAGCACCATCCAATAATGAGAAGGGGGGGGAGGATTAAAAGGTCCACCAGGGATCCTGTGCATGTCTAGAATTCAGTTGTTGTCCCAACACTGGGAGGTTATCAGGAGACTCATCAAATTCTAGGCCAGCTTGCAGGACAGAGTAAGATCCTGCCTCAAAAAACAAAATAAAACAAAACAAAGCCCAGATTACCCATAAAGGGTCCTTTTGCATCATAAGAATGGCTTTCAATCTAAGCAATTAGGGATCTTCCACCTGTCATTTCATGTTTTTTTGTTTGTTTTTTACTTTAGGGCTCAGGATGGCAACATGTACAATCCTAGAGAAAATGATAGTTTGGAGGCCATTATAGAAGAAACTGAGCTTAGTTACTGATTGATAAGAACAGAAATAAAGGGCTTGAATAGAAGAGAAAGGGAAATGTTCCTGAACTCTGCGTTCATTTGCCAATAAAGTGGTTATCAAGATTGTTTGGAATTCAAAAGGGACTAGAACCTCCGCTGTGAGACGAGAAGATGAAAACCAAGGTAAAAGCTTAAGAAAGTACACTGAGGAGGAATAAAAGCACTGCTGGGCCAACAATGAAGCCCCAGCTCAAGCCTCAATTTGTGGTGGAACTAATCTGTCTGGTTTCATGACTCACCAGGCTACTGAAGATCAGGGGAGAGAGAATGCCAGAGTAATGTCTAGGGATTGGAGGAACCAGTAAAACAAATGAGTAATGGAGCCAAAGTACGAGTGAGAGTGTTGAAGTGGCTGTAGGAATGCAGAGGGAGGAGGAGGAAAGTGGAGGGCGGGAAGCACTGGCTTCTCAAACAAAGGCTAAAATCTTGTGATTCAACTTTAATCGGAGTGGTGTGGTGTGCTTTTGTGGTGTAGCAAAGGTCTCAAGTAGAGCGACCAGGTCTGTATCTGTAGGAAAATAAAGGATCCTAAGTGATAAATAACCAGTATTCTCCCCGCATAAAATTAGCCCCAGGTGAACGCCCTAGGCTCCACTTCCTAAGGATAATTCCTGCTGGACACAAACTCAAATCTACATAGTCGCTCCCCTCCAGTGTAACACCTGCTCACTTATGCAGGACAACGCCCAGGAACCAGATTACAACCCTTGAATCTGGCCAAAAGAATTCCACCAATAATCGAGGAGGGGAGCGGAGGATGAGATCACGGAGGCGGGGAGGCCTTCCAGACCGAGGGCGGTCCTTCCAGGAGGAGGCTGCGGAGAACTCCCTGGAAGGTCCTGAGGCACTCCCCTCCCCCTGTGGAGAAGGGTGCGGCCTCGCCCGCCTCCGACTCGGCAGCTCCCACCGTGCCGCAGCGACCTCGCGCCGATTTTTTGGAGAACCACAAGCAGCACCACCCGCCCACTAACCAGCCCGACCGATCCCCGTTCCTTCGCCCGCCCCCGCGGATGGCAGGAGCCGGTCGGGCTGGTCTTGCCCCTTAAACGGCGGGGGCCCGGGGCGGAGCCATGGCAGCCACTACCCAGAAGCCCAGGCCGGCAACCTCCTCCGCCTCCAGCGCGCGCTTCCTGCCACGTTGCGCAGGGGCGCGAGGCCAGACACTGCGGCGCTGGGCCTCGGGGAGGGCCGTAGCAACGACCGCCTCCCCGCCGCCCGCCGGCCCGCGCAGTGGATTCGCTCGTTTGGGATTCGAGCCAATAGCAAAGATCCGCTCTCCGGGCCTCAGGAGCCAATCAGACGCCGAAGCCGAGCAGGCGGCGGGTAAACCGACGTCCCCGAAGGGAAGGGAAGGGCGGGAGGGCGTCCGCGCGAGAGCCACTTTCACTGACCCTCCCCTCTCTCCCCCTCCCCGCGGGCGGCTGGCCGCGCCCGCTTGTCCAGTTCCCCCTCACCCCACCTACCTACCCGCCCCACCCAAGGGGCCATGCAAGTGGAGCCCGGCGGCTGCGCACTCCCGGGGCTGTAACTGACAGGAACTCTACGCCAACCAAAGCGCGCCATTTGTGTTTTCACACACGGCGGGAGGAAAAGCAACCAATCAGCGATGAGAGATGAGCCGGAAGCGCCCCTCCCACTGCGGGAGCAATGGCTCCGTCCGGTTTGAAGCCCTTTCCGCTCCCTTCTCCCTCCCCCTCCGGTTGCCGCAGGGCGGGCCGCACTCTCGCCGGTTCCCAACATACCCTTCCAGCATTGCAAGCGGTATGCCCCGATATTCCGCAGACGACCGAAAGCGAATCCGCCACCCACGGCCCGTCCACCTCAGCCACCCAAACCCACCCTCCAGCCCATCGGGCCTCCCTCCCACCAGAGTCCCGCTCCCCTACCTAGCCGAAGCTCTCTGAGGAGCTGGAGCCCCAGAGCACAGCCTCTTCTCTAGGCGGCCCCGGCGGCTTCCGCTGATTGGCGGCGAGCTGGCCAATGGGTGCGGGGCAGTGGGCGGAGGGGCCAATGGTGCAGCAGGAGGAGGCGTGTCCCGGGTGCCCCTGGCGCCGGCGTTGGGAATCCCCGTGCGGTCAGTGGCGTTTCCGCTCGGGCAGCGGGCTGAGTGAGCTGCCGCCGCCGCTGCCGCCGCCGCCGCCGGGGGAGGGGCGGCCGCCGCCCGCCTGCGCTCAGAGACTCACGCAGCCCCAGTCCCGCCAGTCCGCCAACACAGTAGTGCCGGCCCCCCTCCTTCCCTAGCCCTTCCCCCTCCCCGCCTTTGGCTCGCTCCGCCTTTCTGCCCCCCACCCCCACCTCACGGGTACAGGCCATTCCCGGCCAGGAAACGCCGTGGCGCCGCGTTGGGCCTAACTCGAGTCTTGCTGCCTCCCGGGAGTGCCGTGCGCCGCAGCCCGGGCCCAGGCCCCGGCAGCGCCTGGGACAAGGTAAGGGTCCGACAGAAGAGAGACCCCGACCCTCACGCCCGGGCCTCGAGGGAGGAAGGGTCACCTCCTCTGGTCTCCCTGCGCCTGCTCTCGGAGGGACGCGGGCCTGGCCCTCCCCAGGCTCAGAGCTGGAGGATGCTGCCCCTTTCCAGCCCCTCCACACCGTCGCACCCCTCTGTGCCAGGGAGAAAGGCTCCTTGTGTAATCCAATCGACCCCACTACCCTTTTCACGTCTTTCCTGGGTCAGGACGCTCCCCCTCCCCCCACGCCTCTTCACCCTTTTCCTGGGAACTGCCTACTCCACGTTTACCTTTTACTCGAGGTTAGGCCTCTGGGTGCCCTGCTCTCAAAATACACGGGCATACTTTATTTTTTCTTCTGTTCTCAGTCCCCCACCCCCGTTCTTGCTGCCTTGTGACAACTCTGATCGCTCTGAGGGTCTCCAGATCTCCCTTCTTAATCTTGTGAACGACTTCCCTCTCGTTCTTGGGTTCCCATCTCATGTGGCTGCTGCTTTTCCCATACTAAAGATATTACCTTCACCACCCCCAGTCTCACATTCTTGAGCTCCCCGTGGCGTTTGCCCAAGTATCTTGAGATATCCCTGTTGAATTTGTTGGGTTCCAGCCTGGAATTGAGCCAGATTTGATCGTTTTCCCTGCCTTGGGCGTGGGGAGCGATATTTTGAGAACGTCTTTAAAGGAAAAAAAAATACCTTTTATGAATTCCCTTTCCTTCTGCCTGCAAGCCCTGATATGAAGTGGACAGTGGTGAGAAAAACCCTGGTTTAAGGAGGTGAATCGCAAGAGAGGGAAAGTTTTAACTGCTGGGAAAGCCCCTTTTATGCTAATTTATTCTATAGAGTTCCTTAGCCTGCCTCACTCTTTGGGAATAAGCGGTCTTTTCTCCTGCATGGGTACTGATGCTGCAGCCAGCTCTGCTGGTCTGGGTCAGGGGTGCGTGTATGACCTGCATTTTCTGCTTTCTCATGTTACTTGTGCAATGTGTTCACCAGTAACTCCTTTCTTGCCCAGAGCTCTGGATTACACTGGGCTTTGTCTGTACCTGAGTTTATTTGTCCAATTTTCCCTATGCTCATAGTACTGAAAGAATCCCCAGGTTCCCTTGCTGTTTTCCTTCATCCTTCGTTTAAGTTGTTTTTAGGTGGCATGTTTGTGACCAAGGTCATATTTACATTTCTTCCTAGGACATATCTTACTTACATAGCCGTACTTTTGATTTGAAAGGAAGATGAGTTGAGTGTTATGAGTTGCAGGAGAATGTGTGCCACAAATTTAGGGAAAAAAGTATCTTTGGTTGCTAATTTTATATTAGTATATTAATAAACTGGCTGAGAACAAAGTTGTAAGGCAATTTTAAATGTGTGGAATCTGAGCTAAAACTAAAGCAGAGAATACTCACATAATCAGAGGTTTCTGGGCCTTTTGGAGGACACAGGGGAAAAAATTTATTGGGTTTCTTCCAGTTTTCTCAGGAGGATCATTAGTTCTCTTCTGTAGCCAAAAATGCTGGCCTGTTATGAGATTGGAGTCTTTACGCTTTATTTGGTCGGTCATTATGTGTAGGAAAATGAATTATGTCCTTTAGTAGGACATGACACAAAGCTCTTGTCCCTGGCTACAAATTTAAATTTGACCAGTTAGTACCTTCTAAACACTACAGCTTAATCTTTACTCTGAAATTGTTGGTTTCATTAAAATGAGTATCTGAAACCTGGTAAACATCTTTTTCTAGTAAAAAGATCCAAATTTAAAAGGGTGACCTTAGGATTGTTTCTTTCTAAAAGCATTATTCCAACTTTGCTAGCATGGAGCACTGGTATTTAAAAAAAAAAATAGTGTAAGGAGTGGGGGTTGGGTAAAGAGAAGGTTGTTCCTGTGTTGGATCATAGGGGTGAGTATAACAAGGCAGCAGCAGCTGCTGGCTCTGGAGCTCTGGTTGCTACGTGAGAAGCTTGAGTAGTGCTGGCTGCCGTCTCCAGGGAAGGACAGCAGTGCAGCGTCCATTAATGTTGTTGGCTGCAGGGAGCTGCACTTAGAGGCAATGGCTGCTTCAGGACTAAGAAACCTGAGAATTTTCACTGCTGAACTAGTTTGCCTTTTATTGGTGGAGAGAGAATTACCACTTCATAGCCTTCTATCAAGTTATGGCTATCAGTATTAGAAATTGAATCAAAGACGTGAGGGGGGGTGGTAGAGTTTTGTTTTTTATATCTGGTTTTTGTGAGGTTTTTTTGATAGAACTAAAAGTTATTTTTGATTCAATTTAAAACTAAAGAAAGAATAAAAATTTTCTGAGAACAGATGAAGAGGATTCCACTCCCCCCTCCTCCTTTACACAAACTAGCATGTTTTTCTCTAGCTCTAAAAAATCGTTGAGTCCATTTTTATTTTTTGATACTGTGTATCCTTCTATATTAGGTCATATTTACTTTAATAGAAGTTTGGTTTTTTATATATGTATTCTATGTAGTCTCCTGGTCACAAAGATGTATCTTTGGCTATAATTCATCTGAAATAACAGGGCAACCCAGACAGAATTTTCAGAAATTGATTGAGTCTAGTTCACGATGTTGAAGGCAACCTGAGTCTCATTGGATTGTGGTCTCCCCTGCCCTACAATCGCTAAATGGTAGCATGATTTCTTAAGCTGCATAGTCCATCAAACATGGAAGTACTTGAAAGAGAACCACCACCCATGTACCACCACCATTAGAGGCAGTACAAGCCACACATATGCCCATGGTCTAATTTTCCCCCTAGGACTTTGTGGATGAAACATCTACCCTTTTTCCTTCCGAACTTGTTTTTTCAACTTTGCATACATTTTTCTTAAATCCTACAAGCATCTATAATTTGTAGGATGACTAGTAATTTGTGGCAAGGAACCAAAAAAAGAATGGAAAGCATTTTGTCTTTCACAAATGTAAGCATACTGTTTTCCTAGTGATAAAAGCAGACTTATAAGATACAACCCTTAATGGATAATATTTTAAGTTGGTTCTAATTTTTATTATTATTACATGTATGAGTCAATGTAAGATAATATACTTTCATTCTGATGGGTATACTGATAGTTTACAATGCACATTTTTGTTGAGATTACTATGAAATATAGAAATTACATTGCAAAATAGTTTTCCTATTTTTTTAACAGTTGTATTCTCAAGATAGTCATTTTCTAGAGAATCATTGAGGCCCTTTTTATAAATTGAACTAGTTATTTGAATTTGTTACATCTTTTGATATTATTTTGTGTCCAGGGACTTTCAATACTTTTTGAAATTATCCTGGCTATTTTGAGAAGAATGGCTATTTAATTTTTGCCTTTGGATGGGAAAGTCGTACAGTAAAAATGAAAATGAGCAGATAACCCACTTTTTTGATAGTCTTGAGATCCAACCCCGGCCCTTGCAAACTAGATGAATGCTCTCTCTCATTGAGCCACAACCCCAGCCTTACAGATAACCACTACTTTATCCTCTATATTGAAATGACTTCATAATGAAATACTAGTTCATAGTTTAAACTGGATGGTGAGTAGAATAAAATATAACTTGGTAGAACACTAGTAATTTATCACTTTAATTTGAAATTAAAAAGCCTAGCTGTGGGTTTTTGTATATCAAAGTTTTTCAGACAGAAATGATTTAAAATAGAAGTAAAACTTAAATTCTTGAAAGATGTTTAGTATGATATATATCTAATAATACAACTAGTAGACATTATTTAAATCAAGTATCACTTCAGAGGCACTCCTAAGAAAAGCAGTGTAATGTACCTATGAATGAGGTTGATACTATGTTGCACTGTTCCTTGCTACCAGAAATTCCAAAATACTTGGTAAAATCGCATTTTAACCTTTCACTTTATGATTGATTTTTCAAGTGGTTAAAATTCATTCATGGTAAAGACTTTCACTCATCTATACATATGTTGTTAAACTACTTAGCCTTTTGAAATGTTTCCTATTGTAAGTTACAAATTGGTTAAAGAGTTTCCAGTAACTTTGAGGAGTGGTCCTGTTAGAAAGTATCACTAGAAAATTCTTATTCTGATAAAATGTGTTCAGAATCTTAACACTTACTGAAGGGATCTGTGAAACAAAATAAAGGAACAATGAAGACTAAGTCTCAGCCTACTTTATTGTGCTCTTATTGGGCAAGAAATTTTCTAATCCCATCCTGCCTCACTCACTTTTTCCATCATATTGATTTTCTTTGCTGAGCACCTAGGGAATACCTTACTTTAAGTATCTTTGATAGGAAGACAGAAAAAAATGAATTTTTTGCTTTTTGGAATTTTAGAATTTTGCTGGCCAGTTTTGTTTGATGTGTGTCTGTAGCTTCATTTCTCTCTGTGCCCTTGTCTTCCTTGTAGTCTGAGAATTGCTAGAGTTTTAGTGGCAAATTGAAGTAATAATCAATCATTTTCTTCATCATGCTATATATATATATACACTCCCAAAGCTAGGAATACCTTTTGGTCTATATTGTGAATCACAAAGAAAGAACAGTTAAAGGAATTTATACATAATTGTTTTATATCTAAGGAATCAAGTTTTTTTTATTTGTACTACCTAAAAAGAGAAACTGATTAATTCCTTGCTGCTCAGAGAAATAGCTGGAAGCATGGGAGGAGCCAGAGACCTCTGCAGCAGGATTTGGTGTGAGGAGAAAAGGAAGATTTTTGTTTCAAATTGCCAGCTGCTTATGTCAGACTGACTCCCTTATTATGCCTCCAGTAGGCCTGTCAATATGGCCAAACAGCTAGATAAGTGCCGGGCAGGACAAAGGGCTCTTTGCACAGCAGGGAGGCAGTGTTAGTGGGGGAGGGGCAGGGAGGTAGGAAAGGCTCGGGAGGAAGGAGGTTCTTGGGAGACTATTCACTTGGCATACAATTTTAAAAATCATTTTTTTCATTCCCATTTGAGTAGAATTTATGCCAAGTACATACTGCAAACTCCAGATTTCATATAC